CATCCCTTATGTGATATATTCAGCAAGGAATTCAAAGCAGTTTTAAAATATAAATTGCTTAAACTTTGCAGTGAAAATTAAGAGTATGTGCAGATGATCATGGTTTTGATTCTGGAAATTAAAGCAAATAGAAATGAAATGTTCCCCACGTAAAACACTTTTTGGGGGGCTATTATCAGAGTCATTGCACGTTTCTCCCTAAGGCCTTGTCTAGTTCCCTGATTTTAAAGCAGTGCAGGTGGGCTCTGATCACTTGATACAAGGCCTCATATTTTTGGCTCATTTTCACCATCAAAGAAATGAAGGTAAGCAAAACCCCCATTTGGAAAGTTAGACATTATTACATGCCATAAAGTAGACCTCTACAATATTAAAAATGAATAATTTCAACTAGTGGTTAGCAGGTGTTTTTCCCTCCACGCATATTATTTTTAAAAAAATATCAAGAATTCTATCCCCCATTGACCTTGTCTTACTCCATGGTTTACAAAGGGGGAAAAAAAAAAAAAAACTGCCCTGGAAATTCAACAGCATTTTTTTAAAGGAGAATTTCTGTTGGGTTGACATTAGAGCTGTTTAATTTGAGATATTAGACACTTTTTCAAGATCCTGAATATTGTGTCAAGGAGACAGAAATAGTGGTCATATCTCTCCCATAGTAGGTGCTGACAAATATTTTCTGAATCAGTGAAAGACAAGAGGACCATCTTAAGGAATTTCTATTGGCACATGCTGACATTTCTGTCTGAACACATAGTGACGATTTCATTACCCTTCATGTGAATGTAATGCCTTCCAGCTGAGAGCAGAGCTGCGGGGATGAGTCTTCACTATTCTGAAGTAGTTCACTCACCTCTTTAGGTGCATCGGCTTCAATGAATTCAGAGTAAATCATCTTGGCTTTGGAAGCAATTTTTTCTTCATTTTCTGTTTTCTTGAAGTCTTCACAGGCAAGCCAGAACTCAACATTTTCTTCACTAAACTCAGATTTTAGAAATGTTCGAAAAGCATCTAGACCCTCTATAAAATATATAATAACAACTTTTGTATCGTATCATACAGAGCAGAAATACTACCAAAATGAGTACGTTGTATGGTATGAGTATTTATTAACTATTCAGTGACAAATATTTATCCTCCCCTAAATATAACATTTGTATGTTTCAGTTTCTAACTTTTGAAAACCTTATTTTGGATCAGTAATCATAAACTTAAAGTATTTATCTCTATATTTCTACAATGAGTTCCATTAACAAAGAAAACGTATACTTTGTTCTTCCTAGATCTGAGAAGTCTAGGAGTTACGTTCAGGAGAACTTGATGGTGGTTACTTCACAGGAAGGTCCAGAACTTTGCTTTTTAGACCTACTGCATTGAGCTCAGGTCAAGTTAATGATGTTATGCTAACTTCAGAGTAAGAATATCTTTGTTGCTATGAGTTGTTGAGGAAACAAAATTTGATGCTAAGGATTAAATTGTGTTGGTTTGGGCTTAAAGCCATGGAGGAAGGGCTGGCATGCATTAGTTTTAGGTGAATGTACTGGCCAACTCTAATCTCTAAACCAAGAAAGTAACTGGCAAGATATTTGGTGTGAATGCTTCTCCCCTTTATGTGGTGACAGGAAATTTTAATTCCATAGACAAATAAGTGGGAATTTACCCAATGTTGCTTTAAGCAAAATACTGATGCCTCCCGTTCTCCCTGGTGGTTCGTGGTGTTCTCTTCCTGCTCCCAGGTATTCTCCTGAGCAGGTCCTCCTTCAGAAACTTTAGACCAGGGACTGCAAAGGGACCCACTTACTTGCAGGCTCATTTTCTTTGGCTTGACTATGATATGCAGTTTTTAAAATTTAGTAACCACAGGAAGGGTTTGCAATTTATGATTCCTAAAGGCCTCACTCTCCCCCTTACCTTACTTTCAGCCAAACTGACACCTTTATTCTTCACTCCTATAGATATTTGAGTTTGTGACTACCTGTTTAGACCCTTCCTTCTCGTCTTTCTTCATCAAAATGTGCCCTGAAATATTTGTCTTCGGGATTCCCAGAGGTCATTTGAGAAAGCAATTCTTGCTGACTATTTTAAGGCTGAGTGTGGCTGAGAGTGTGCCTCTAGTCAGGTATTAGGCTAGGAAGATCATTATCCAATTCTGTCTGCGGACCAAACTAAACCAGTATGCTAGGGTCATGCTATTCAATTTCACAGTTTGCACCCTCCTGCCGGCAGGATCTGTTTGCAGGTAAGACTGCGGATCTCTAAGGGGGAGAGATATACAGCAGCGCTTTTGCCACTCAGGAATTTGCCTTCCAAAACGGCGGCGGTGACATCGTCCACCTGCGCCAGGGCCGCTTTGCATGAGCTCAGCAGCTCCTCCCTTCCCGCAGGCTGAGAGGCTTCCACAGCAGGGGAAAGTAAGTTTACCGGGAATCAGCGGATAGGAAAAACTGACCAGAGAAAAAGAAAATACAAGTGAAAAGTTAATGAAAAGGGGCCTAAGTCAGTTGTTTGTAGGTTGCTGTAGGTAGAAAGCGAAAGTGAAATTCAGTGAGACAAAGCAGAAAAGGGCTTTCTCAGCAGGATTAGAGTGTCTAAAAAGACTGGACTGAAGATAGATTTAACAAGTTTTTTAAAAAAAATTATATGAAATAAAGTTAAAATAACAAGTCATTGCAAAAGATTATCAGGTACCAATTAAAATTCTCAGTAGAAAGATTGGAGAGTGCGGATGTCATTAATA